CCATGGGGAACATGTGTTTTATCTCTCAGAAGAATTGAACAAAAAGTCAATGTGTGGAATTTCTATTTTTGGATGCTCTTGTTGCATGCTCTTAGTAACAATAAATTGGCGATACAGAAGACAGACACCATATCACATCCTCCAGCTATCCCTGTTTCCCTGTTGAAACATTCATTACTTTATATTGTTTTCACATTGCCAGCCACTGCTAGTTATTGTTTTAAATTGCTAGCACAGAGCTTGTAAATTACAAGATATTTCTCCCAGACTAAGGCCGAAGCTCTGCTCTCCTTGCGATATTCAGTGGGGTTCCTTGTGCTTCTAATATAACTCATTGGAACAGTGAAAGAACTCGACTTCTAAATTATTATGCATTGCCAACCTCCAGTATATTATATGTATAAAATCTACATTAAACAAACATTACTAAGTGTATTGAATTATGAAAAGTTTGAAATAAGGGGTAGTGCCTAAGAACACATTGCCTGCATCTGTGATTGGAATGATCCCTTTGTAATTAGGAATAAAAAGCATGAAGGAAGAGAAAATAATTTGTATTAAAAAAAGGACTGCACTAAAATCATGTACCCCTCACCTTGCTCAGCGTTATCAAGCTGGAAAGGTAAAATTATAGAAGCATTATTATTCTCCTAAACCCAAGGAGTATATCATCATCTTTCATAGAAGTTTCTGTTTGGCTCACATAAAACAGAGGGCTTCTCAAAATGCTGGTATGTTGCAGACATAAAATCTCTTCTGAAATTTCAGCATTACCAAAAACCATTCTGGTAGTAGCTTCTCACCTAAATTCTTTATTATCCGTGGAAAGACAATATAATATAACGTTATACTTTTTTTTCACCAGCCCCTGAAGATGTGCAATCACCTACAGCAATATCCTTTCCCACTTTCCTGCTGATGACTTGGAATCCACCCAAAACACCAAATGGTATTATTACACAGTATACTTTATATATGAATGGAATACCAGTTTACTCTGGAAATGGAACTAAATATGTTGTAAAAGGTGAGTTTTCTGCTAGGTTGCATGTATAACGTGTATCTCATAGTTGCTATGAATAATTGTATGATTAACCTCTTCTTATTTCAGAGGAAAAGAAATATAATTCTAAAATTGACTGGATGCACTTTAAACCCTGATGGGTTTATTTTTTTAAAGAATCTTTCATAGAACTCTTTGTTGGGACTCACAGAAATTAACACCACCATGGATGGTATAGCTAAACCTTGTGCTGTATTGCCCTCTTTCAAAGGATCCGAGTCATATTTTTAATGATTTTATAACATTTTGATCTCATACCATCTAGCTCTCTAAGCAAGTAAACTGCAAGCTGTTGAAGACAAGATATTATGTACAGGTTTAGTAGTTTTTCTTCCCGTCTTTCTTAGAATTCTTAATTAGAGAGACACTGCATTGCTTACCTGAATAGTCCATGTTTGATTAATTTATTGAATGTATAAACTAATTATCTGTTTTCTTCTGATATTAGTTATGCTGTGTGCCAGTAGCCAGGTTATATCAGTACTCTTAAACTATTGCATAGAAGCTAAATGTCTGTTGTTTGGCAGTACAGTGAAGCGTGGTAATCTGTCTTCCTATTTTAATGTAATTGGTGTAGTTTAATGAAGTATCCAAATTATTTGTTCAGACATTATCCAAACAACAAACAAAATTAATAAAAACCTCAAGATATGGAGCTAGAAGTAGCATACTACAGCATAAGCACTATTCTGGACCCATCAGAATTGTATATGTTAATAGGTACAAGTAAAAATAAAGCATTTAATATTGGACAACTCAGGGGGGAAAGGGTACCAAGACCCTACTTTCTTTGTAATGTAAGGCCTTAAAATTCAAGACCATTTCTGCATCTTGAGTTAGTATAAAACATATTTAAAAATTCATATAGTTCAAATTTCTTTGCTTTGCACAGGCCATAAGCTACTGGTGTGGTGGGTCAGTTTTGACACTGAAAAATGAATCCAGTTAGAGAACCTCCTGAAGGCTGTTGATGATCGCTATAATAAATAGTGCACACTTTAAGTCAAACTTTTTCATTCTGTGTTCAAAGGTAATGGATTTTTCGTAACCATAGTAACCTTAGTGTATTTCTGGATAAATACGTGAGGTATATACATTCTGGTTTTATTTTTGAATATAAACTACCACATTATGTATTACTAATAATATGAAAAATAGGATATAGGTTAGCATAATGACAGCTCAAACAAGTGTGCATTTTTCTTCTGCAAAAAAATAAATATTTATCAAAAGTGCAGGTTCAATTAATTTCTCCCCCATCTCCCCAGTTTTCTGGTATTCTCACAGTGCCATTTATCTTTTTTTTTGCAAGATTTCTATGAATCCCTCATTGCAATATCATAGCACCATTCTTAAAAATTTTGAAGTGAAAGTAGTTATGCTTCCGATCTTATTAAAATCATTACTGAAAGCTCATCACAGGTGGTTTTACCAATGTGTTCATCTGCAACATAGTTGTAAATGGGCAAGCAATGTAAAATATTTGAGGAAGTGTTCACCATAATGTATTTTGGTTGGTTGGTTTTAGATTCATGTCTGATTGTAGTCTGAATTATAGCCAAAATTATATTTATTGATAGAAATTATGGTCAAGTAACTTTTCGAATTCTTTGAAAATATAGAAAAGCATAAGTTAAAAAGGGTTAGGACTTGATTCCTCATGTTCTACTTCTAAATCTTGAGTGATGTATCAGAATACATTCAGCTGAAGTAGTTGAAGGAAGTCTCATCTGGTTTGTAAGCTTTCTAGAGAAGCTATTTTCCTTCAATTTAAAAATCATTTATTTATTTATATTTTTTCTAGAATTTTTTATATTTTTATATTGAGCATTTCATGACTTTGATTTCAATTAATTTTTAGGCAGACATGGATATAAGGAGAAGAGAAAATCTTACATATTCAAGAGAGAAGGCAGGTGAATCAGATTGTGTTACTGTATGCAGTACAACACAGGAGGCACTCTTGCCCATCATTGTGAACATGGTGTGGAGATCAGTCTGTTTGCTTTGGAACCATTTTATTTAGCTGCTGGTTTCTCACTCTGCCTGAGGGAGAAGTGGCAATGTGAGCCAGCAGGCTGGGATTTGGGTCACTAGAAATCCCAGTCCTTTTGAATCAGGTTTATTCAATATCTTGCTTAGATCTGTATATATCTTTAATTTTACTTGATTGTTGCTTCCTTTCAGAGCCCAATATTTTCTATTTTTTAGGCTAGATTTAAAAGAGGTATAACATAATATTTTCTCTCCCCCCCCCTTAGAGTTTTATGGTGAAAAGTTGTAGCTTTTGGCTTTCGAGTGTTATACAGGTCTTGGTCTTTTTCATATAATTATCCTTTTCTTTTCAGCACTTATACTAGTGTTGTTGTTGCCTCAACATAATATGTTACTGACCCTAAACAGAGAAACAAAGTTCATTGTCTCTGACATCTGTTTCCTATTTATTAACCAAAATTATTTTCCTAATTTACTGACTATATGACTTAGTTCCTGACCAGTAGTTTATACCAGAAAGTCATAGATTCTCTCTGTGTTTTCGAAGTACTGTATCTGTTGAAATGTGATGGGTTTTTAAACTTTTCTTTTTAAGAAGACAGCTAAAAATTTGTACTTTGCTGACTTTCATTTCAGACCATGGAAAGTGCAATCAGTTTAGGTCCGTACTAATTAATCCATAACTTGAGGAGGGATATGTTTTCTCAATACCATAGTTGCACATATATTGTTAGCTTAATTTCTGATCTTGACAGTTGTTGAGGGCTTGAAATACTCATTGATTTTCATGGAAGTTCGAGGGTTTGTTTCCTCTAGGGGCTGAGCTGTAATTAAAAAGGAAACCCTTTAAAAGCACATATGGCAAATGTACACTTTACCACATTGAAAAGGGAGACCCATTAGGCATCCATCATCCATTAGTGCCTTTAAATATTTTCTCCATATTAAGAAATTCGGTTTCTGTGTTGTGAGTAACAAAGCACTGAAATGAAGCCAGCCCCTCTACCACAACACCTGTGTTAACTGTCTGTCTCTGATTTTTCTGCTTCTCACCTTTGTGCATTTGCTTTATGTGGTGTATGTTCTACTTCCTCATGCAATCTGGATTGTATTTCACATCCTATGTTCCACTGAAAGCCTAATATCTCCAAGGGACAAGCAAAGAGGAAATAGTCCGGGATCCCTGGTGAAACTTAAGCTGTGTGAATCCATGCCCCTGTATTCATGCTTTCATTTCCTCTGTGTGTGAGTGCAGAAGATTCTGTAAGCAAAACCAACATCTACAGCTCAGGAGAGTAGTTGCAATAGTGTTCTGCTCCCTAAACTTGTATACCTTGCTGTTTTGTAGATGACTAGCAGCTGTGAGGAGATGGAGGAGCTTGTACAGTTATCTTAAGAGCTCTGAGCTTAAACATAATGATCTTAAAAAGGCTTTTGATTTTAGGAAAATTTAAGTTGATTTTTCCTGTGGAGAGGAAAATATTCTTCTCATTCAACCAAATGCTCACAGATAAAGCTGAACCTTCTACTTTGAAATGTGGAGGTTTCTTCATGTAATTATTTAAACAATATTTTTAATTTTATGCAAGGTATTCCTTCTTTTTTTTTTTTTTTAAATTAGTCTCAAAAATTTCTTACCTGCCTTAGACAGAAGAGCCAATGGAGTGGGTTTTATCCTAAGAAGGATTCAACTACAGTGGCCTGAGCTGATGGTGCCGATACCAGCAGCAGAAAAGTGGTCTAATAAATGCAGAATGTTATGGCATAAGCAGAGACAGTGATGCTTAGATGTGACCCAAGTGCCAAGTTTTATTTTGGTGGAAACCTTATTTTTTGTTGTGAAGAAACTTCAGAAAAAAAGATTAGAACAAAATATTCCCCTCTTCTTAAATGCTGAGGATTTGATGGGCTAAGAAAAGCTATTAATTGCTTAACATGTTTACAAAGGGAAATGACTTGACAGACACTTCAGAAAACAAAAAAAACCAAGAAGTGTGAATCTATCCTTGCACTGAGCTTGGCATTAAGGATGTATGTCTGCATTTGCTGCAGCAGTTGGTACTTGACAATGTGAACAAATTGTGTTCATATAATTTTCCTAGCAGAATCTAATGGTTCTCATCATGAATCTTTAAAAGGAAGATGTTCTTATTAAGACTCAGCTATATGAAACTTATTTTTCTCTGCCAACCTGAAAGAAGTGTTTCCAGTTTTTCAGGAAAGAGATCCTGTCGACTATATTACAAGGACAGATCCTCAACCGAGTTAAACAAGAATAGAGTTATCCTAAATTACATGCACAAGAGTTTATAAAAAAATGTGACAGAGTACTTTGTACCAGGTTTCTGGAAAAAATATTAAGGAGAGCCTTGGTAAATGTGAGAAAGAGCTGTCTTCACAAGTTTTTTCTGAGAGCATGAACTAACCTTTGGCTTATTCAAATTGTTATTTGACCTGGGTGTGGAAAGGCTGATCCTACAAAACCAGGTTAGAATGGGAGCCTTGTTTTTGTGTGAGGAAGAGACAGATGTTTGACATCTGTTCAATCAGGGCTTAACATATCTGAACTTAAAAAAATAGGAGAATCCCAATTTATTACCTGTATTTTTTTATGATGCTCTAACCCAGGAGTGATTATAGTACACACTATGGACAGCCATGTGCAATTACTACATTTTAGTACATTACTGAAAAATTTACATTACTACAATTACTGAAAAATTAGCAGTTTTTTGTCCTTTTTATCCCTATGAATACTACTGCTTATTTTAAATGATAGATCATGGCAATAAAAGCAAAATCCATCATAATATCAATATTGTACTAATTGCCAAGTGAAACAATTTGAGCAAGAAAATACACCAAATTATATATAGAAGATAATTTCAATAAGATGTATCACTGCTAGAAGCTGAACCACTGAGAAGAAAATCCTTATTATGTTAGGTTTAAGATGTAGTTCTTATGGT